GNTATGAGATATGGATCGGGAACAAAAGAATTGATGATGGATGGACAGCGAGAGATTTTGAACTTTCTTATCCCTTTTTCACTGGGAGCAAGCAAATAATTTCTTTTTTCAATCGTAAGATTGGTCTTTGCTGGAAAAAGAAGGAACATTTCTACGAAAATATCCTTTCTGTAAGGCAACTCATCATCATCCCAAGTGATTGCAGAGCAAACTACGATATTAAAGTCTTGCTCTTTTTCAGGGGCCACTTCTGTATCGAAATGAGCTTTAACCACCAAAGTAATAAAATGTTTCTGTCAGAAGTAACTCTCACACCCTAGAATCCTTGTTTCTGCTGTTTTTCACTCAATACCATATATGTAAAGCATTAACACCCACATTTTTTTCCCCACATAAACATCTCTTTTCTTTTGCATGATATGATGAAATAGAGTGGCTTTATGAACGTAAGTTATTTTTGATACAAAGATGCTGAACATATGAATAAATGCATATTTTAATCCAGCCAAATGCCATATTTTGAAGTTTAAATCGATTTTGTCAGATGCAAATTTAATTCAGTGATAAATAGTCCATATTTGCCCCTTTAAAAACTTTTTATCCACATGTAAACCCTGTTGTACGATGCGCCACATGATAATCTTAAGTAATTCCACAAATGGAACTCTGCAAACTTCCAAAATCCACCCAGGCCTCAAGCAAACACTCTCCATCTCTGTTTACACCCATCTGTCACAGACGTTTCTCCCATCGCTCGCATTCTACACCTAACATTTTGATATTGATCTGTCTCCTCTGAGTGACAGGACACGAGTCATTCTGACTCCCCCAAAAAAGAAGAAAAAACCCACTTCCACAGATGTTAATTTAATAATGTGTGGGCGACAAAAAAAAAAAAAAAAGCCAAGAAACACATGAAATGAGGAGTGGAAACAACTCCCAGCTGCCAGCGGCTGAGCACTTAATGCTGACATTAAAGCTTTGATAAAAAATAAAATAAAAAAGTGTAAAGTGTCTCTTCACAAAGCAGACATTTTTAAGGGGGTTTTAGACTGTTTCTGCCTTTTAATTTTTCCATCACAGAGAGTTGGAAGTGAAAAGATGACTGAGGGTGACTGGCTTTTAGAACTTAAGAGATCTTTGTCAGGAAACTACAAGTGTGGGCAGATGCTTCTGTTCACCGTCAGCCGTGCTGCAAAGCTTATGTGTTTGTGTTTCTCATGAAATGAAAGCACCAAAGGGATCACAGGTGAAGCTAGACCAACATCAAACACACACTCCATTTATAATGCAAGTAGCTAGCGAGGTGCTAGAGTTTCGTCAATATTGCTGAAGTAGAGAAACGTCGACCCACTAATCAGCGGCTCGGGACTGAAACGAGCACTACTCCGGCAGTAGATCGCATAACTAAAAATCATTTTCTTTTCCTGTAGGTGAGGACGGTGTGCATGTGCTACTGGGTCCCGCCTTACCGTCTGCTACCTCCAGTTGGGCCTTGGCCATGATGCTGCCTGCCACTGTGAGGGCTTGGCAGATGTAGTAGCCTGCATCTGAGCGCTGCACAGATGATATGGTCAGCTCTCCATTTACAGACACAGACACTCGGTCGTCCCCCTGTGCTGGTTGATTGGGAAACAGCAGATCCTACAAAAGCAAACGTTTGGAAAAAAAAATGTAAATTGAGATTAGATGTTTTCTTTTCTTTTTTATAAACAAAACATGTATTGACAGATACATACTACTTTATTATGAAAAATTCAGCTGCACTGGTGAACGTCAGCAGCATAAAAGAAAGCCAAGTCATATTACCGAACTACTGAACTAGCATGATTTAGTTTCTATATAGTTAATAGTGTAAAAGTGTCACAACCAGTTAATCTATTTAGTGTCTTATTCTGATGTGCATTGGTGTCAAAGTTTCAGATGTTCTTCTTGAAGACATGTTTTGAAATCCATTTTGGATGACAATGGAAACAAAGAAATAAGTTTTACAATCAATACATGTCTGCAGAACCTGATATTCTAAAATGCTATGTGCAATCTTGTTGAATAAAGGGGGTCAATGTTTCTTTTGCTTGGTTAGAATTACAGTTTCTCACCAAAGTACTGCTCCTGCTGTGATAACCTGCACTCATGACCATGAAATTGAGGCATCAGGGCTCTGTGCCTCTGCACCCCAGGCGGACCAACTGATGGACAGGAAAGGACATTAGCCTGCTTTCATTATGTCTAATGACGCTAATGCAGCACATGACATTGTCTCTCGCAAAGTGAATTGGCTCGTCAGATGGGCGTGGATTGATAATAAATGACCACTTCATTAAATATATGTGGAACAGAACCACATTCTGTTCTGACCTGGGTTGATCCTTTTAGTCGAAGCTGTTTCCTTTTTAATCCAAACATTTTAGCTAAAGCGCTAGCTCTTTATGGACGTCGGTTTGTGCACCAACGGTTGAAGCAAAAGAGAAATGTGCCACATATTCTGAAAGTTGAAATCAGCGAGAGTGAGAGGTTTAACGCTTATGTTTTGGTAAGTCTGATTAAAGTCACGTCATACACTTAATCTCTTCATTTATATTATCTATTCTTTTATTTATAGTGTATTTACCTGGACTTTAAGGCATTTTGCTTCAACTGTATAGGAAGATGCTCCAGCATCACTTTTCTACACCTTTGACCCTCAAGCATTCACAATTTGATCAACAGATGAAATGGGCTGGCACAGATTTTTCCACCCCATGAATGCTGCAGGTCTCATATGTAATGCATAGCTCGCATGTGGACATCATAGCATCAACACAATTCAAATTCTTCAACAATGATGCTAAAACAACATTATTCAGTTTCATACCATTGAGCGAAAACACCTGGCTGACAGAACCTTGCAAGCAAAAGTCAAAATGGAATTCAAATTTTCCAAATATAAATTACTAAGCAAAATATTTTCTGACGTTTTGGTGGTATTAATGTTTCATTGAAGTGCCGTTGTTGGATGATCAGCTGATATTTGAAATTGTAAAGAAAAGAAATATGGTGATGTCACTGCAAAAGTAATGGACCTTATCCTGTATATTTTGGGATTAGGGATTTAATTTCACACCCTTAATCCCACTATCAAAAATGGAGCAGCGACAATAGAGATGCTTCAATGCATTACCGGACCTGATTACAAAATCCCCAAAAATCTCTTCACTTTAGAATATAAATAGTCTTTTACATTGATTTAAATAAATCTGATGTGTGTTTACTTGGATTTTCAACATCACATGTTGATTTAAAATTTTTCCCAATCAGCGTTTTGACTTTTCTTATACTGTCTAGATGATCAATCTAATACTTCTACATAACAGATGAGCCAACTTGGTCAAAATGCCAAAGCGTTAAAACTACTAATTTTAGGAATTTATTAAAGCTACAAAAGTTCACAAATTGTGTTTTAAGGAATATTCATTTAATATTTGCGACGCCATTCCTTTTTTGATAAATCAAAGAGTTCTTGATATTGAGATATAACTAATCTAAGTTAGTCCAGATGCCACAAAAACACTGGTCTTTTGCCACAATTTCAAAATCGGGGCCATTTTCTGCATTGAACTGTTACAGTACATCTTAAGCCTAAAGATGTGATGACTCAAATACTATTAAAGAATAGAATTGCAGATAATACGAGTCAAAATAAGAGTCAAATACTATCAAAGAAGATCCAAAGTTAATATTTTCTACTCAAATGTTTGGAATTTTTTTTATAAAATGCAGAAACAAAGTAGTTGCCCTGTTGTCCCTCCACAAACCTAAGTTAAGTCTTGAGCCTTTAGAAGACAAGTCAAAGTCTGTAGAAGACAAGTCTAAGTCAAGCTTTTAAACTTGACAAGTCTAAGTAAAGTATGAAAGCTTTATTTTTCCAACTCAAGCGCCAACCTCTTCAAATTGCTCACCTTGCTGCCTTCTCTTTGCCAGAAGACTGTTGGCTGAGGTTTGCCTCTGGTCACACAGGGAAAGGTAGCCGTCCGTCCCTGAGCCACAATCTGGTCCCGAGGTCGCACCACAAACTGAGGTGCCTCTGAGTTTGAAAATGAACAAAAACAAAACAAAACAAAAAAACCATAAAAAGGCAAAGTATTCTAGTAGACGTCTCGTTACCGTTAGACTATATCATGAGTATGTGTATCTCTACTAGACGAAGAGCTGCAAGCTAAAGGATTTCATGCACTGGGTGTTTTCTTTTCATTGAACTAGTTCTTATTTCTACTTTTCAAACAAGCCACTGAAATGTCATAAATTTTCAAACGTCGTCTCTATTGTAGTGTTTGAACTATGACACGTCAACCACACCTGAACCCACATACTGGAAGAATTCAGAATATACATATTAAGTTTTCCAGTGGAAGTCAGAGGTTGATAGAGCAGATATGCATGTCTTAAAAAAAATACTTGATGACTGTGCTTGTGGAATGCAACAAGAGCTCATGCATACTGAACATGTCTGTGATTGAAAAATAAAAACAACAAAAACGAGAAATAAAATAAGCTCATGCACAATGGGATCACCTCTTACTTACCAACGGGGCGAGCTGGTGACACAACAATGGTGTGGGTGACATTGACACGCAACACAGAGAGAAGGAAAGCAGAGGAGCAGAACAGAGGGACAGGAAAAGAAAGAAATGAAAATCAGAAATGAATGAAATGGAGCTGGGTTTCCATCCATGAAGCTCAGGGACAAGAAGGGTAACTCTGTCACCAAAGCAGGGGATGGCATGGAGTCTAACCCTCACAGCAATACAGAAAACCACAATCCAAAATTTATTAAAAAATAAAAAATAAATACATGTATGCAGTTGAAAGATCTGTTTGATAACCAAACAGATGTGCAGCGTGTGATACAGACCTAGAACAAAAGGAGATTTAAAGACCAATAAATAAAATCAAACCAACTGAATAGAGATTTTCAATAACTATATTTAGTATGAGCTGATAAGAGACTGCCATGGTAAAAAAAAAAAAAAAGCAATGGTTTGAGTGAATCCCTGAATTCACACCAAAAATATGCTTTCTGCTGTTAAAATACAAATTTCAATAATTTAATTAGTATTAATAGTGAAATTAAAGGTATATGATTTTTTTTATCATAACATATATTTATTTTTTAAACACATACTTATGTAAACACTTTCTAAATTTAATAGTTGTGTTCAAGTCAATAAGGCACCAAATATTTTACTTTTTGCCGTTGTGCTTTTCATATAACAACACAATAACAAATGGATCATTCAACCCATATCATAAAGTTAATTAGTTACTTTATTACTATGTACCATTTTCTCAGATAGTCACCCTTAAGAAATAGTGTGCTGAATAATTCAAGTTGTTTTGAAGTTATTAACTTTTAGAACCTTCATGTATCTCGATGGAGGGACACAAACAATGTGTAATTACCGTCACTGGCATTAAAGGCTTTTTTAAAATGATGGACATTGGGAATACCTGACAAAACTAAGCTCCCAAATTCCAATGGAGTATCATGTTAATAGCCAAACTATCAACAAGTCATATCGAAACATGAGAGTAAACGTGCTATTGTTAGCCAGGCAAGTTATCCAGATGAAAAAAAAAAAAAAAAAAGAATTGTCATCTGTAACTTTCTTGAAAGCCTTAGCTGTATGTGTGGAGTCAGAAACAAATTATGAATCAAAAAAGAAATATAACGTTTTGCAAGTTTTGAGAGACATATTGTGACCTTCCCAAAAACATGGCTAAAAGAAACTTTGGTAAAAAGAAAAAGAAAAACAGAAAGAATATATATATAAAGAGAGCACCAGCAGTTGCCCACCTCTGATGGTCAAGTAGGCCGAGGCCTCGGCTTTACCCACACGGTTCTCTGCTACGCACGTAAACGTCCCTTGATCGCTGACAGATGCCTTTTTTATCCTCAGCAGGGAGTCCTCTCTGTCATATCTGATGTCATACCTGGAGAAGCGGTGTGAGACGTTAAACATTACAAGTGTATTCCAAATAAAGACTCTAAATCATGTAAATACAAATTCAAAAGTTATTTCTGTGAAGCAAAACAAACATTACGGTGTGCAAACTTGTGTGTGTGAGACGTTTTGCATGGAAGCTCTAAAAAGGAAGTGTCATTTTTTTGATAGAATAACAACAGACTTTCTCAGGCAATTGCTGGGGATGGGATGAAAAGAAGAGCAATTAAACTCAGAGATGAAGGCGCAGAAAAATGAAAGGGGCTTTCAGCTAGAACTCTTATTGTTCCACTATTTCAATATTCATAAAGAGCCCACACTGTAGTGTGGGTTGTTGTATAGTTCATGAGAGTGTGTGTCTCTGCGAGAGAGAGAGAGAGAGAGAGAGAGAGAGAAAGAGAGAAGAAGAAAGAGAGAGAAAGAGAGAGAGAAGGAGGCACAGACAAACAGTCTGACAATAAGGGAGTGGCACAGTCTGACAAACTGAATGTGATGATTGGCCCAAGCAGTAAAACATAACTAATTCATAGAGATGTTCCATGTATTTGAGTGTATCCATCAGCGAAGCAAACGTGAGACGGCAGCAGCGCAGTTAAGAGTGAGAGAACCATCTCAGCCAGCCGAGTTTAGATAAGCGTCTCGAAGGGCCAAGAGACGAAATGAGTAGGGGAGCAAGGAGTTAGGTCTCCCTCTCCTGGGTCCCCTTTGGCATGAAAGATCTTGTGAAATTGTCTAGCCAGCCATACTGATTCAAAGATGGAAGACAAGTCAGGCAGAGAAATGCTACAGAGGGTGAGAAAAAGTCACATTCGAGAAAAGATGTTCCAAAAGGGTGTGGGCAGAATATCGATGTGGGGGATGGGTTTGGTGGGGGTAGTTATGGAGGTCCATCCAGAGTCTGGTGAGGACTCCATTCACAGCGCATCCCTGACCCAGATACATATGTCCCAGGAGGCTGGTAGGTTTTGGAAAAGAATGAAAGAAGTGAAAGGAGGAAAGTGAGGGAAACTGGTTCTAGAAGTAGGACATAGTTTACAGTCAGAGGGTGCAACCCAGGTTGGTCAGCAGGCTGCCAGACACAGAGCCGAGCAATGGTCGTCTGAAACATATCAGCCACGACATTATTACTAATAACTGCTCAAATTAAAAACATTCACCACTCTGTTGCAGTGGCGTCCCAGCGGTTTGTAGGAGAATATGAGCAACATGCTAAAGGTAAACAGGAACATTAAAACAGGTGTGACAGAGAAAAACAGAATAAGGTTGTTGAGTGGCGCAAAATTCTTCAAAGGAGTCAGGAGAAGGAGAATTAGTTCAACGGCAGCTGGGGAAAAAAAACACTTTGCTGTGTGAAGATGAAGCAAGGCGTCCACTTTGTATTAAATGCTTGTATATTACTGGATTTTAATAATGGTCTGACAGAATAGCTGGAGATAACAAAGCATCACAGTTTATTCTATGTGCTGCTCCATTGACCACTACTGCCTTGCTTTTATATCCAAAAGTCTTTACTATATCCCTGAACAATAGGAGGACATAACCTGGTCTTTTGTTTCAGTTCTGCAGCTTGTTGTACATTGTTACTGTGACGGGTTCCACCATGATGAACCCTTTTTATTGACCAAATATGCTAGCAAAATATAGATAAGCTAACAGCGCAACAGAGCACCCTGCCAGCAACTGGCATATGTTTTCAAAAGGTTGAATTGCCTTTAAAGACATGTCTCAATTTGGTCAAAAAGTGAAAATAATAATTGCAATAGACGTTGATGGTTCGTAGACACGGCACATATTTCCATTTCAGTTAAGACATTCAATTCGCTATTTCTTTAATGAATTTTCTATTGATTTCCTGAGCCAGCAGATAACATCTGACTGCAGCGTCAAATAATAAGACATGTTTCTAACAAGAAAGAGAAAACCACTCGATATTAGGAGGGTGGTCATAATATTATGGCTGATCAGTGTATTTAATGTTGCCCACTGTTATGGATTAGCCCCCACAAAGTCCAACAATGACTTGAAATTATTAATATCCAGTCCATCTGTAAGAGTGTTTGGTGAGACATTCTGCAGTAAATTCTGATATCAGTTGTGTGTGTTCTTACACTGGATTGCATCATGTTGTACTGTAGAGGCCTCATATGGTTTGAATTACACGAGCATCCACACATCACATCCCAGACACACACACACACACACACCCATTTCTCAAACTTTTGTGTGTTATTTGAGCAGAAAATGTGCTGCTAATTAAAATGTTTGACATGCGTTTTCGAATCCTGAATTTTAAGTATCATTCTTTAATTGTCCTAACACTTAGAAGTGCTTAAATGTTCTCATTTTCACTGCTGCAGTGCTCACCGACAGACGTGCTTATTATGGACTGCACACATTCACTCCCGGCCCTCACCTGCCACGAGGAACATCCACATCCTCTTTTTTCCAGCGCAGAGCAGGCGGCGGGTCACCATGGACCTGACATCTGAACTCCACACTCTCATCAACCAGAACCACCTGGTTCACAGGGCGCTGCATAAATGCTGGTCTTTCTAAATGAGGATCGCATACAGCGTAGGTGTTAATTAGGCAAAGGGGTTAAATGTTGTCGGTGCATAGAGAGCGAGTGAATATTTCTGCACTTAGCCGGTTTTTACATTATACACCGAGTGGAGAAGAGATTTCCTACCGTATACTGAAAGTTGTGCTTTTTCACTTTCCCTTTCTCCAACCATGTTAGAGGCCACACACACATATATCCCTGTATCGCTCTTCTTAGTATTTGAAATGGTCAGCTTTCCTCCTCGGACCTGAAGAAGGCAAAATTAGCTAACCAGTTCAAAGCAAAATATGTTAAACCGCAACACATTATTAACGTAAACGTAAGGTTAACATGCAGTTTTTCATTAAACAGCAAACAAGATGATTGACATGTTTCTATGAATTTTTCGTTTTGTTTTTTTTTTAGGTTGGCAACATAGCTTCACATTTTATTCGTCTTTGTTGTTACCACCATGTCCGTTTTTGGAAAGTGAACCCACCATGATCCTGTCATCCTTGAGATCCAGTTGAGTTTTGTCTCTTCGCCAGAATACGGTCGGCTCAGGATGCCCGCGCGGAGGCTGACACTCAAAACTCGCAGTTTCCCCAACCGCCACCACCACGTCCTGCGGGTTCTGACGGAAGTCATCTCGCAACACTAGAATCGAAAGCAGATGTAACACATAATCCTATTTTAAATGTAATGATGTATGATTTCTTTAAATATTTGACTTCCTCCAGCTGGTTTTGGAAATCAAAAGGTCACTCTTAGAATAAGTGATCTTTTCTTTAGCAAGTATTTCACAGTTTTCTAAAATAGAGGCCAAGCCCTGGTGGTAGATTGCAAAGTGCAAGTGCATACAGCAGACACATAAGAGAAAGACATAATTCACAACAAGAGAAATATCACACATAAAACGTCTAAATCCATCTACAGGCTAAGTAGCAAGTTCCTACAATTAAGATTAAACATTTCAAAATTAAAAGAACAAAAAATACATTGACATCTGACTTAGCTTTACTGGTCAAAGTTTTTAAGTTTGTAATGTATATGTTAAAAAAATCAGTAAAGAATTCACCAAAAAAAATAAAATAAAATAAAATCTTCATATTTCATACAACCACACAAGGTGACCTCTCCATTTTTTTTTGAGAAAAATCCCCACAGTTTATTACCTTCTAACTATAAACTAGTTTCCTTTAGTTTGAGTTTATTGAATGTAGTGTAATAAAAGAAAAAGCTAAATTATATACAAAGAAATAAATTTAAAACAACCTTCAATATTGCAAACAGAGCAGATGTAAAAGAGTCAAAAGACACATTTTCTATATAATTTATGTCCTCTGAAGCTTATCAAAAAAGGAAAAAACAAAACATGTACTGGTTAAGAATAATGATTGATGCTCATGTGATAAGTATGAGTTAAAAAAAAACAAAAAAAAACTTGCATGTAATCTCTGCTTTGGTAAATATAAGCAGCTTGTGGTCAGTGAAAATATTTATGAGCCGAGCCACGAGCCAGTGATGTTTTAAAGCCTTATATGCCAACATCAACTCAGGGGTATAAGAAGGTTCACTGTGGGCCTCAAACTGAAGGCTGTCCATAATAAAAGTACTGCAAAAAATGTTTCAGTGATAAGATTGAAAGAAATCAGTTGTTTCAATAAAATCACTAGTTTGGTTGAGTCTGTTTTTCTGACGAAACCTTGGAAAGGAAAAAGCAGAGCCTGTTCTTTTGCAAGCAGACACGGAATCAGGCCCTGGATTCCTGAAAATGCATTTGCAGTACGCTGCGTACAAATTTGAAAAGAAAGTACAAGTGACTAAGGGTATCAACTGGATCAAACAGTCCTTCATAAAGACCTGTGAAATAGCAGCAAGGCCTCTTTTAGGAGGCGCACATTTCAAAACATCTCAGTGATAGCAACAAATTTCAGAGACTTGTTCCAGCACAGTTATAGTACTTGTTTCAAAAAAAATAAATAAATAAATATATATATATGGAAACTCCTTCATTACTCTCTGCAAGGAATCCACACCAGTTGGAAGGAGGGCGACGACTATTTTATATAAAAAGAATAGCTCTCAAAGCCAAGCGTGGGTAAAATATAACACTATTCCATTTTTATCTCACATCTACACACTTTTTAGTTCATTAGAATTCCATTTTGAACACTTTTATCATTCCCAAGTCAACATTTTCATTTATCTAAGAATATCTGCATCTTATTTTCATTATTCCAACAGTACGTGTCAAACAATTACCGCACAAGCCAAGAGAACGCATCCTGACCAGATGTATGAGGTAGTTAAGGTGAAGTTAAAAGGAACAAATCTTCAAAGCTCCATAATGCTGTCAGAACTGCTAAACAAATATCTGTTTAAAAGCTGCCGCCGCTTTAAGTAGCTGCAGGAAAGACTGCACTGTACGCCGTCGTTGGGATTAGGTTTAAAAATAGAGATTGTACGTTGGATCCTGCAATAATTTGTAACTCCTTAGCATTAATAGCTTGTGACATGTTGTTTTTGCGCAAAGCCTTGCTGTAGGCCCGTTTTAAATAATAAAGAGCAGTGTGTGACATCAATCACAGCCGTAAAAATAAAATACTGATGCGTCTTACCTTTTCTCATCAAAGAGCTATGGGCTTCTGCATAAAAAAAATAAAAAATAAAAAATAAAAAAATAGCAGCAGACTGTCATTTCTGCTTTAACGTATGAGGAATTAATGAAAACTGGGAGAGATTAATTATATCTCACTGTAAGTGATAGTTTGTAAAACTCCGAGCAGCATAAACCTGCATGGTGCTCAGTCTGCCTTTTATCCTCATTAATGCCATAAATTGTTCTGTAGATATACCGTAGCATGAATTCCAAGTCCCCGAGGACACCTCGAGTGAAAAGGAAATCAGGAAGCAGCCAGTGGCCCTTTGGCCCAGCTGTCAATCACATCCCGCTGTAAACGAGTCTCAGTTGCAACACTACTTTGGCACAGACGTATGCCTGGTTGGCTGTCATGTTGTAGTGTACGCTTAGTGACCCATTCCATTGCAGGCAACGTTGCATCCGTCCAGGCACACAACAGCGTTGCTTGTCCCCGTGTTGACAATGCTTTTCTAAATCGTGTCCCGGGAGGCTTTAAAACTCAGACGTAAACAGGGGGAAAACTTGAAAACTAGATAATTGGGTACATGAAGTGTAAAGATACTGACAGAGAAGTAAGTGAAAACTAAAAAAAAAAAAAAAAATGTCATTTGAACATTTCTGATGAGCGCAGAGAGAAAACAGAGAGAAACTTATTTACGGATTTATTTGAAGTATGTGTCATAGACCGACACAATGTGGTGTAGATTTGTGGTTTTGAAGGAAAATAAAGTTTTTTTTCCCACATTTTTGACAAATACAGATCAGAAAAGTGTGGTGTGTATTTCTATTCAGCAGCTATGAACAAATTCAAACATTACAACTAAGTTTTTTTTTTTTTGGATATCTACAGAATTATTGTCCATTTTCTTTGAATGCATTTTAACAGATATTTCTACATGATCTCAGTTGGATGTGGGACAAGAGAAATGGTTTCCCTCAGCAGACTCTCCCATCTGTGCTCTGGAACTCCACAGCTCCTCTACAGTCAACATGGCCTCTTGGCGGTTGCTATGACTACAGCTGTCCCGTCATTAGGTGGATGGTCTCGATTTTCAGGTATTGTACATACTCGAGTTTTTACGTTGCAAAAAATGGACTATTGCAAATCCTTCTCAAACTGTGTAATTTTCCTTTCATATGAGTTAGTCTACCACAAGACATCTTATTAAAATACATAATGGTTTGTGGTTGTTATGTGACAAAATGTAAACGGGTTCAGTGTGTATATGCCTGCTGAAATACTAGCTTGTTTTTGCAAATGTGTATTTAGATTAAAATATTTCAGAAATTCTCTGACCAAATTATATTCATGGCAGTGCTTAGACATTACCAACTTTCACAACAATGTGAAATCACTACAATTTTGGGGTTTTATTTTGTTTCTAATAATAATTTGGTTGCTTTATGATGGAGTGTGCCGAATCATGTCCGTGTAAATTGGAAGTGAATTACTTGTTGCGTGCAATTTCTTCTTAATAGGCTGCTGTCAATTTAAAAGGCTGTGAAAGCGTGGTCAAATACATCAGCGCTGCTGGTAGTCTGGCAGTGATTTATTCAGTCCTGACAGTATGTATGAATGGCCGCCGTCCTACCGCCTTCCACGCTGTAGTGGCTGTTCCCTTTCCCCTGCCTGATCTCGCTAAGAGGCCCGTGCGGCGTTCTGTGGGTGGTGCGTACGATGGCATGTGAGACATGGGGTGGAGGTGCTGGTGTTCTAATCTGTTTTTCTCAAATGAGGAACCCCCGCAGAGGCAGCAGTAATGTGTAGTCTGTTGTCTGGTGGTAATTATTTCAGATGCTGTGCCTGCCACCGCTGCCTAATGCTGTTTGATTGAGTACTGCTCAATTATTCAAACAAGGCATTCAGGGGTCTCACCCATTTGCTAGTTACATTTATCAAATCAGAAGGAGAATAATTTGTAAATGGGTTTCATTTCATGGAACAATAGGTGGTAAAGGTACGTGACAAGGTGGCAGTCTGTGAAAACAAATAAGTATACAGAGACTCATTACGTGATCAGAAGAGGGGATATATACAGTAAAAAAATTGGAGACGTTTTGTGCAGCGTATCTCGCCGAGCATCCTTGAAGGAAGAAAAGAGACAATGAGGCATTTTTCTCTGTTACACAACTATATTTTACATGACTATCAATTTAAGTGATTACAAACTGAAGATTAGAGAAAGCAGAATGCAGACGTATGCTAGCATCTGTCATTATTGGAGATCTGAATTCTATATAAATAATACGCTGATAATCATGAAAGTAGTGCTGCTGTGAGCAACCTCTATGTGTAACCTCACATTTTTAAAAAGCAAAAATCTGAAAAATGTGGGGCACATTAACCATGATATATCTTACTGTGTATTGAAGGTTGTTCCGTTTAAAGTTGAATCTTGAGCTTGGTTTTCAGGCAATTAGGAAACATTTTGACAGACACATTTTGGACTAGTACTTATATCTATATGTTGCCCGGAGGACACATTTACACGCCTGTCTCTGGTTCTCTTATTGTGATGAAATAACATTAATAATTTAACATTTGCAACAAAGTCCGAAACTTTGAGTGGCCAAATCTGTGGCCTAGAAATTGCTGCTAAGAACCAGTTGTGCTCCTTCTCGTACCATCACCTCTTTGTAAAAACATTTGGCTAGACATTTTGTACAAAGAGCTGCAGGACGAATATTAACATTTTTTACCATATTTTTTGTCATGGCGTCTCTTGATTTCCTTTTCTTACATCATTTGTAGGTCAAAATTACAATTTGTCCCAAATTCATACAAAAGTGACATCCTCCTGCTGTGTTAACATGCAGTTTATTAACATGTGGACATGCAATTATATTTCCACTTTCCTGAAAAGGGACATTTCGTAATTTCACCACAGGTTCTGTATGCTCACCCGCTCTCAAAAGATGACTGGTTGTCATCTAAAAGCCAG